ACTACACTGAAACTAACACACACACTTGTTTACAGTTTCTGTTTGTTAGTTCGGTCTATTGACCTGTACAGGGTGTGGGGTCTAATTAGCAGAACAATTCATGGCCATAATGGAGCTTCCACACCTCTGGACCTGACCTGGATACACCTGTTGTTCTCTTGTTTGTTTTGAATTAGGTTTGAGGATGGAGTTGTAAATAGGAGAGGGTGTCTGAGTCTCTATTTCTGTTAAGACAAGGTGGAAGCTTCATTATGGTCATGAATTGTTCTGTTAATTAGACCCCACACCCTGTACAGGTCAATAGACTGAACTAACAAACAGAAACTGTAAACAAGTGTGTGTGTTAGTTTCAGAGTAGTTTCAGTGTAGTTAGCTCCTCTGTGTAGACAGATATAAGGAAGTGTTCACCAGCGTCTGACCAGAACTGAAGAAGCAGCTTGGATGAGCTGCGAAACGTCTTCAAGCAAACTCACTTTTGTCCAGTCGACAAACTGAATTTTCTCCTCTCCGTGGATTCTACCTGGACGACTGAGGGATTCTTCACACATCTGAAAGAAAAGAGATGATTGGACAAAACAGAATGCAGGCTGAAGATGGCAAAAAGCAGATATAAGTGATATATAAAAATCTGTCACCAAACACCGACCTGATCTTGTGATAAATCGCTGTATTTCCAGTTATTGCAGCTTTATATGTTGAGCCAATGTGCATCACAAAACAAAGCTGCCACATTAGCAAAAGCTGTTTCCTGTTAATCAGTTCAAAGCACTCGGACCAAGATGTTTCCAGTACATAATTATTCTAACATGAGGGAAATAAATGCAGAAAAAAACTGACGAAACTACCATAGTAGTTTTGTGTTTACACTAGTTTAGCCTCGTCTAACTAAATGTACTAAATGTCTTTTTGTGAACTGGCTAAAGTGTCTCCTGCTAACCCCCACCCCCTCCAACAGTCAGGAATTAAAGTCACTCGTCTTCTCTGTCCCACCATTTCTGTCAGGGTGCTACAGCGCTGTACTGTGAGCAGTGTTGGGGAGTAACAGATTACATGTACCAGAGTTACGTAATCAGAGTACAAATTATGAGTAACTGTTACAGTTTCAGTGAGTGGTAATTGGATTACAGTTACTTTGCTGAAATAAATGGATTACACAGCGAGATTTTCCTGTTTTCACATTTTGGGCTATATCTGTTTTTTTTTTTTTTTCAGTAATTCCACTCAAACCAGGTTGAAAACCAGGACTAAACCAGGACTAAACCAGAACTAAACCAGGACTAAAATATGACTAAAACAGGACTAAAACAGGACTAAAACAGGACTAAAACAGGACTAAACCAGAACTAAACCAGGACTAAAATAGGACTAAAACAGGACTAAAACAGGACTATACCAGGATTTAAAAGGACTAAACCATGCTGTATGGACTGTGTCTCCTCCTCCTCTTCTATCAATAATATTTTTTTTATCTCGGCTTTTTATTGTCTTTTAGCAGACAAAACATCTTATGTTATCCTCGTCTTTGCTTCTCTACAGCAAATCAAGTAATCCAAAGTATTCAGATTACATTACTCACTTTAAGTAATTTAATGGATTACGTTACAAACTACATTTTGGGGTATGTAATCTGTAATCTGTAGGGGAATACATTTTAAAAGTCACCTTCCCAACACTGACTGTGAGTGCAGCCTGTCACTGCAAAACCCCCTAACTGTAGAACATATCTGGAACATAAACATTTTCAGGGCCCAGATTAGTTTTTGATTGTTGTTTTGGAACAGTGTGTATAATATATATTTGAGAGACTCTTTATTCTAGCATCCATCCTAAAATGAAACAAACAAAGACCTTATGGTGAGTTCCGGCTAACTGTCCAACTGGGACCAATCTGTTGGACTGTCTAATCAGAATTTCTGCTTGCAAACTCAAGGGTGATCGAGGAACCCCGATCTCCCATATGTTAAAAGTTACAATGCACATTTTTAAAAGACAATAGTTCAAGCTTGAGCTGTTCTGTTACAGATATAATATGTGGTTAAAAAGCTCTAAGGTCAGAACTGACGTCCTGTTTCCACCGTCCCAGCCTCCAGGGAATATTTTACTTCTCTGTGATATTAACTGCTAAGGCATAACATATTTAGATTACAGTGTTGGGGAGTAACAGATTACATGTACTGGAGTTACGTAATCAGAGTACAAATTATGAGTAACTGTATTCAGTTACAGTTACTGTTTCAGTGAGTGGTAATTGGATTACAGTTACTTTGTTCAAATAAATGGATTACACTGTGGTATTTTACTGCTTTCACATTTTGGACTAAACCAGGACTAAACCAGGACTAAACCAGGACTAAACCAGGACTAAACCCAGTCTAAACCAGGACTAAACCAGGACTAAAACCAGGACTAAACCAGGACTAAACCAGGACTAAACCAGGACTAAACCAGGACTAAACCAGGACTAAGCCCGGTCTAAACTAGGACTAAAACCAGGACTAAACCAGGACTAAGCCCGGTCTAAACTAGGACTAAAACCAGGACTAAACCAGGACTAAACCAGGACTAAACCCAGTCTAAACCAGGACTAAACCAGGAATAAACTTGGTCTATACCAGGACTAAAACCAGGACTAAACCAGAACTAAACCAGAACTAAACCAGGACTAAAACCAGGACTAAAACCAGGACTAAAACCAGGACTAAACCAGGACTAAAGCAGGAATAAACCAGGCAGCAGTGATCTCATATAAAAATAATTTCTCTATCAATAATATTTTAAATCTGATCAAGTAATTTTTTTTTTTAATTTTAGCAGATAAAAAACATCTGATGTTAAGATCCTGGTCTTTTCTTCTCTACAGTAAAACAAAAGTCTGTTCATGGAGACTTGGACTCAACAGACAATTTGAAGAGAACAAACATGAATTTTCAGGATGTGGTCGGTACATTCATGTAGTTTTAAAAAGCATGACAATATCAAGTAATCCAAAGTATTCAGATTACATTACTCACTTTAAGTAATTTAGTGGATTACGTTACAAACTACATTTTGGGGTATGTAATCTGTAATCTAGGGGAATACATTTTAAAAGTCACCTTCCCAACACTGTTAGATTATCATGTTACTTGTATTGTTTTGAAAATGCAAAAACAGCATATTAACATGTTTTATAAGGTATAGTTTTGTTTTTTTACGAGGTGCCCTCTCCATTTGGTCCCCGCACTTAGTCACTCCCGCTAATTAAACTACTGCCCATCACATCAGGTTTGTGCGGTTGCAGAGTATTGTTTTGTATATTTATGAAAAACTGCTGTGACGGAGCATTGGTGATGTAGACTTGTGGCTGAGCATTGTGCAGGCTCGTTCAGTTAACTGTAAGGAGGGTTTGAATAGGGTCCAGGAGAAGTTGTGAGATTACTCTACTATAACTATAGGCATGGATGACATCAAAAACCTCTTCAGGCATGTTGCTGATGAGAGAACAATGTTATAACATGAAAGAAAGCTCCAAAAACAAAGAAAACACACACACCCACATTTAGGATCTGCTCTGACAATAACTACAAAATCTTTCTTATTTTACCTGTCCTCAGAGTTTCTGCCGCAGACCCTCACCCACATGTACGCCCACTTCCTCCTGGTCCTGACCCGCAGGAGGAGGAGGAAGTATGGAGCAGAGAGCAGGGGTCCAGACCTGACAGAGGCAGACTGTGACACCCTCCTGAAGCTGGGAAGACTGGCCTTTGAGCAGCTACAAAAGGGAAACCTCATGTTCTACAGAGAAGACCTGCAAGAAGTTGGCCTAGATGTAACCGACGCCTCCTACTCAGGGCTTTGCACGGAGATCTTTAAAGAGGAGAGCACCATCTTCCAGAAGTCTGTGTTCAGTTTCATACACCTGAGCGTACAGGAGTTTCTGGCTGCAGTCTACATGCAGCATTGCTTCACTTACAGGAAGGTGGAAGTCCTTGAATGGTTCGGTGTGGATGATGATGATGAGGAAGAGTCAGATGAAGAGAACCAAGATAAACCTGTAGCTCTGGATGAGTACCTTGAGGACTTTTTAAAAAGAGCTTTGTTAATATCTTTTGAAAGTGAAACAGGACACCTTGACTTATTTGTTCGCTTTCTTCACGGCCTCTGTCTGGAGTCCAACAGAAAGCCCTTATGGAGCTTACTCGGCTGTGAGTGGGTCGAACCAGGTACTTTACAGAAAGCTCAAAATCAGCTGAAAAACATGAAGATCCGGTTTGAATGTCCAAATAGAGGAATCAACATCTTCCACTGCCTGTTGGAAATGAATGACAATTCTGTTCAGCAGAAAATCCAAGACTTCGTGAAGAATGGGGACAGGTCATTGAAGCTGTATGAGATCCATTGCTCTGCTCTGGCCGACCTGATTCAGGCATCTGAGGAGGTCATGGATGAACTGGACATCAGTCAGTACAACGCTTCACCAGACGCTCGCTTACGACTCATTCCAGCTGTTAAGAACTGCCACACAGCACGGTAAGACTGAGGTTTTCCAACAGACCAGTCCTTCTTTATATCATGTTTTATGATGTCAGGAGGTTATGAGGACCTTTTTACAGAAAAGAGTAAAAATCTGTTAATATATACAAATATATTTACTGCACCATTTTTAATCTATGTTATGTAGTTTCCTCATCACAGACAAACCTGGACAGTTGTGTTTTGTGTCATTCACACATTTTTAACGCACAAACTCTGTATATTTAGGCGTGTTCTTTTCTCAAATTGAAAATAATGTACCTCTTAGTGATGTCATTAAGTGGAAATGCTCCACTGTGTTTTTAAACTCCATACAACAGTGTGTTTTTAAACTCCATGCCCCCTCACTAGAATGATTGCGCAACTTTGAAGTTATAGCTATTGTTTTGGCCTCATTGAGACTGCGTCAGTCCTCGGTGCACCAGCAGATTCATTACTCATCTAATAAATTCAAATTTGTATTTATTCATGGAAAGCCCCTTGAAATGCAGCATCTTGTTTTCAAGAGGGACCAAGAACATACAACATACAGTTTACTCTTTCTTACAGACACATAGTTCAACAATACAATACACACAACACACACATACATACAACACAAGTAACAGGACAGTTTTGCTCACACCCACCCCACCCCTCATATGTTCATCTCATAGAGTCATTAACACAAACAGTGTTATGGAGTCAACAGTAACTCTCAGTTTTCAGGTAAGTTAACAGAGTCGTTCTAAAGGAGCGAGAGACGTTGGAGACATCTGGACTTTCTACTGACAATCTCCTTCTCAAGCTGTGAGGCTGGGAAGGTAAATAAAATTATTCAAAATTAAAACCAATAACTGAAGATTATTAAGAATTGTAGAGTAAAGCAGCTCAATTGAGGCTAAAATAGTAGGTAACCTTAAAACTATCACTTAATGACATCACAAGGAGAAACTGGCCATTTTGAGTTTTGGGGATACAGAAGCCTAATAATCCAGGATTACTGAAACACACACTACTGATCAAAAGTTTTACAACGCCACACGTTTTCCAGTTTTCTACTGTTTCCTGTTTCCTGTTGACCAAAATGTATTCTAAACTTTTGAATCATGAAAGTGTCCACCTTTATAGATAGAACAGCTGAACACACTCGTGGCTCATTCTTTTTACAATAGAAATCAAATATTCTTCAGAAAGTTCTTCCCAAGTCTGTTGCAGAAGTTTCCATAAATGTGTGGCACTTGTAGGTTGCTTCACTCTTGTGTCCAGTTCATCCCAAACCAGCTCCATGGGCTTTAAGTCTGGACACTGTGCTGCTGGACACTCCAGGTTTTCAAGTTTACCATCTTGTTCTTTTTTCCTGAGGTAGTTTTGGCAGAGCTTGGACTTGTGTTTTGCATCTTTCATCTTTTTTTTTTTAACCTCTGTCTGTTCAGTTTTTACCTTTGTACCATTTCAAGAGGCTCATTGGACTTGCACGACTTGAACTGCAATAAATAACTAGAAAAATTAGGGTGTTCTAAAACTGTTGACCAGTAGTGTATGTGAATAAAACAAAATACAAGTTTGTTTGTGAGGAGGTAACCTTTAAATGAAAGAGTATAATGTCCTTGCAGACTCTCACAATGCCTGCTGTCCAAGGCTCACTACGAGCTCATAGTCTTGGCCCTGGGGTCAGAGCGGTCTCCTCTCAGAACGCTGGACTTAAGGGGGAACTGGCTGGAGGACTCAGGGCTGGAGATTCTCTGTGTGGGACTCAACAGCACAAACTGCAGACTGGAGACTCTGTTGTAAGTTTGATTTACATTTTGTTTAAAGCACACCTGACAGGTTTTCATGTTTTTCTAAATCGGACTTGCTTTGGTGGATAGTACCTGTGGTCAATATTAGTCATAGTTACATAGTTACATCAATTAAATGGCAGTTTGTGGGAAAAAAGTAGAACGATATCAGGAAGTAGCAGTGAGTTCTAACATCTATCCTTCTATCTATGCAGTTTAGATCGAGCCAATATACTCATAATGAAGGCATTTTTCTAACAGTTTAAAGATTAAGGTGTTGTAATTTATTTGTGTTTGTCTAATTATGTCTATTGTATGATTTAGATAAGTTTTGGCTTTTGTTAAAATTATGGTTGTTAGGTTAAAGAACAGGTATTACCTCTATGTTTGTCATGTCATGTTCAACCAGGAAGTCCAATTATACATTTCACCAGAATTTAAAAACGAACCTGTCATATGTACTTTTAATGCACCGTCCTGTCACTGTGTGGACTGATTTCTTTGTCTTGCACAGACTGGCCAACTGCAGACTTACACGGGACAGTTGTAAAATGCTGGCCCAAGTTTTGGAAAAGTCCAGTTTAAAAGAGCTGGATTTAAGTCGGAACCTGATCGGTGATAATGGACTGCAGATGCTGTGCTTCTCTCTAAAGCGTCCACAGGGGGCGCTGCACACTCTCAGGTGACCAGATTCACAATACATGTATAGAGCTCCGGTTTCCTAACCCTAACCTTAACCCTAAACCCTAACCCTAACTCTAAACCCTAACCCTAAACTCTAACCCTAACCCTAAACCCTAACCCTAAACTCTAACCCTAACCTAAACCCTAACCCTAAACTCTAACCCTAACCCCTAAACCTAAACCCTAACCTAAACCCTAACCCCTAAACTCTAACCTAAACCCAATCCCTAACACCTAACGCTAACCCCTAAACCTAAACCCTAACCCTAAAGTCTAACCCTAACCCTAACCCCTAACCCTAAGCCTAAACCCTAACCCTAAACCTAACCTAACCCTAAACCCTAACCCTAACCCTAAACCTAAACCCTAAACCTAACCCTAACCCCTAACCCTAACCCTAACCCTAAACATGTATAGAGCTCCGGGTTCTTACGGTTTCATACATCATAGAATTTTCAGTTAGCGTAATGCTTTTGTGAGTATAGTGTTCATTCAAAAGTTTTCTGACGTTATAGCTGTTTATCGGGTCGTACCACCACACTTCTGTTTACTTTAAATATTGTTTTAGGTAACTGAAATTTTCTGATGTTCAAGCAGGCACCACGCAGAAATATTTAGGTAGTAAATTAGTCAATTAAAGTAAATTAATAAAGATAAAAAGAAAAAAACATCTAAACATCTGAACTTAACTTTATTGGTAATAGAAAAGTCTTAGCAAAACAGTTCCACTGTAACCAGGCCTCTCGTGACGCAGGCTGACGGCGTGTGATCTGACCAGTCTCTGCTGCTCCTCTCTGGCCTCAGTTTTTGAGTCCGGCTCTGCTCTTAAAAGTTTGGAAATGAACGAAAATAAGCTCCAGGACTCAGGCGTGGCCCTTTTAGCGTCTGGTCTGAAGAGTCCACTCTGCAAACTGGAGACGATGAGGTGAGATCAAAATGTTTAGTGGATAAATGTAGGAACTTTTAATGTGTCTTCTAGAGATGCGCTAATTCTGTAACTCCGATTAACAAACAAGGGCACAGGACTTTTGTTTCTGGATGTGTTATCTGCCCAGAGAGATCAACGTTAGTCCTTGCAATTAACACCAAATGAAAACAGCGAGGGAGGAAGCTGCATGGTGCCCTGTGCACCTGCAGCAGACACGTTATGAATGGTGTTACAGCTCCACACTAGAACTTCACAAACAATGCTCCAGAGTAAACGAGGCAGGTCACAAATCCCACACACCGACATGGTACGAAAACAAAGCTCCTGAGCTGCACGCTGCGTCGGCCAGGTGCCATCATCCAGCTGCTCTAGTCCCAAACTCCACTAAAAGCTTCTACAGGAGTAGATAGGCCATTTCAAACAGTCCTAAACAGTGCCCTTGAGTGTAAATAGTCAAACAAAGTGTGATTTTAATACATGTGAGGAGCAGGGTCTGGAGGACTAAAGGGGAGAGTGTGGAGTGGGGTCTGGAGGACTAAAGGGGAGAGTGTGGAGTGGGGTCTGGAGGACTAAAGGGGAGAGTGTGGAGTGGGGTCTGGAGGACTAAAGGGGAGAGTGTGGGGCGGGATCTGGAGTACTAAAAAGGGGAGAGACGGGCAGGGTCTGGAGGACTAAAGGGGAGAGTGAGGGATGTGCTTTTGAGTTCTAAAGGGGAGAGTTAGGAATGGGGTCTAGAGAACTAAAGGCGTGAGCGAAGGGGGGCATCTGGAGGACTAAAGGGGAGAGTGAGGGGCGGGATCTGGAGGACTAAAGGGGTGAGCGAAGGGGGGCATCTGGAGGACTAAAGGAGAGAGTGAGGGGTGAGGTCTGGAGGACTAAAGGGGAGAGTGAAGAGGAAGAAGGGGTGGAAACTGTACATATCTTGCAAGTGCTTGTGGCATGGCTTGGCTCCAGGATGACCTCTGCTCTCTGTGACGTCTCCCCAGCCTGACCCACTGTGAGCTGACCGAACAGAGCTGCTCGTACCTGCCTTCAGTCCTGAGCTCCAGCCCCCTCACTCACCTAAACCTGAGCTACAACGGGCTTCAGGACTCTGGAGTGAGACTGCTCTCCCTCGGGTTACAAGGGTCCAGACTGCAAGCCCTACGGTAACTATGGTAACTCAAATCCTCCAACAGTGTGGATTCTTTAGACACACAAGTTACCCATGAAGATTTATGGTTTTTGTTTGTTTTGTTTTTCTAATTGTGACTTAACTTGTGGGGGGAAAAAAAAAAGTACAAAAGAAAAGCACAAAAATAAAGAAAGTAGCCCTGCCACAGACAACTGAAGAGACAATTTACACAAAAGGATGTTCAAACTTTCATTGAACAAAATAAAGGTGTTAGTGTTAGTTATTTTTAATTAGTTTTTTAATCATAGAATTTCCTCTGCACATTCATGTCAAATGAAGACAAAAAATTAGGGACAACTAGGTCAGATTTTCAGTAAAGTTTTATTTATTTTATTTTAACTGTTCAGGTGAAATTAGTAGTCAAACCTGTCTTTTAACCTTGAAGTTGTGGTATTAAAATGTGATGGTTAGGGTGACCAGATGTTCCTATTTCCTGGGACAGTCCCAGTTTTGAGCCCCGTGTCCCCTGTCCCAGCAGATTTATCCAAAACCAGTGATTTGTCCCAGTTTTATATGAGAAATGTCCCTGGTGTCACTATTTTTGACCAATTTGATCCTTGCCAACAGTAAAGAGACACATACATTGCCACTTGTTTAACTAAAATACAGAAAAGCTGCTTTAAAACGACCAAAACACAAAGAAAATGTGACTATACTGACTCATGTTAGTCATGAATGATCAAAGTGTAGAACAGTTTTCCTTAATTATGCACTCATTTCACATTTTTATTATTACAAACCACCCCAAACTAGGGATGTACCAGGTTTTAATTTTGAAACTCTGGTCACCCTAGACATGGTTTGCCTGGAAATCCAGAAGGATATTTCTCTGTATTTGTTATAGGTGAGTTTCAGCTGACGTCATTGTTATTAAAAGCCCGCGTTGCATGCTGGGAAATATTTTGGTCGGAGGCAAGAAACACGATAGCGGTCAAACACAGTGCGTAACCTTGCGTATTTATCCCCGATAATGATAAATTCCTGCTGCATTATCAGATGCACAAATAGAAGCAGGGAAGAAGGAAAATGTCTTTTTCTTATTCTGAGTGAAAAGAACCACTAACGGTGAATTAAACGGCTTTCAAACATTCGCAGAGCAAACGTAGAAGATCCTAACAAACCGTGGACTCCAACAAGTTCAACAACACATCGAGACTCTGGGAGGTTTTCATCTTTTCTGCTGTGAATGGCCCAGGAGTTTCCACCAAGTCATTGTGGATATCGCCCAAGTGAATATTTGTCCAGGTAGTTGGCGATTCTGACCAGAAATTTGGTTTGGTCCACCTTTTGTCGGGGTTGAAAAGGGTGATTTGGCTCCATCGATGCTTATGACCAATTTCTGGTCAAATGGTCTTGGGTCCTCTGCTGTTAGAGTGGATAAATAACCGGGATCAATACCCTTTACGTGTTTTCTCGCTCCGTCCGTCATGTTAAATTAGTGTTTCTTGCCGTCGACCAAAATAATTCCCAGCATGCAACACGCGCTCTTGTCAACAATGAAACTCACCTATACAGATCAGCTGGTACAGCGATGAGTCTGGATTCTTCCAGGCAAAGACATGGTAGCCCTCATAGTAGGATTATAGTGGTATAGATTTTTTTTTTCACTGACGAAGTACAAGAATACAAACTGCTCAAGTGGCAGTACGAGCGTGTGGTGTGGAGGGGGTTCTAATTTTGGAGGAATATATTGCAATTTTGTGGTAATTAACACTGACTTATAGTTTGTGCACTCTCTTCTCATGAACCTTAATTATAACAAGCAGACTTATTGGGCTTTTCTTTAGAGTAAAACTAACTTTTGTAACATGACATTAAAAAAACAGACAGGACAGAGTGGAGCCAAAGATGTTCATTTTGTCTTCTTATGTGCTTTAACTTCTTGGGTTCTTTTTAAAGACAATACAGTAAAGTGTATTTACCTTGTTGACATGTTTTGGCTGCTGCTCCAAGCCATCTTCAGAACTGTCCAAGCCATCTGACAGTTCTGAAGGTGTATACACTTTACCGTATTGTCTTTAAAAAGAACCCAAGAAGGACAGAGTAGACTTTGGCGGTCTTTTTTCATGGTTCTGTCAGTTCACTCTTAGGGATCTGTGGATGGTGGTGAGTCACATGAGGGTCCTCTGGGTGGAGGTCTGCAGCAAGAGGCCCACTCAGTAATGGGGCTTATTCAGCATACTTGTTTTTCAATTGAATAAAATGAAATAATTGAAAATTCTCTCTCACCCAGTCCAAGCAGAACAGTGTTTGAGAATACACGCTTTAGTTGTATTTTTTTCTTTTTCACACCCAGGTTACGTTGCTGTCTGCTCACCGCTGATGGAGTCCAGTCTCTGACTTCAGTTCTAAAGGAAACCCAGCTGAAAAAACTGGACTTAAGTCTGAATCGGCTCCGAGACCAGGCTGTGGGACCCCTGAGGGACGCTCTGCTGGAACCCCACTCTCTCCACAAACTCAGGTCTGCTCTAGTCCTCACCTATTCTCAACTGTTGTCTCTATTATCTTTTAAAGACGGACTACTATCATGCAAGATCTTTTATTTTTTAGCTTCCTACCATGTAATAATGTTGTCATCTCATCAGAAACATGCCTGAAGAAGTTTTAGATGTCATCCATTCATTTCTGAGTACTTTAGCACCTATAAACAGTAAAGTCTGGTTGATTTGGTTGATGTCCTGCAGGTTGAAAGACTGTGGGATGTCCAGAGAAGGTTGTGAGTCTCTGCTCTCGACGTTCCACTCAAATCCTCAGAACCTCAAACAGCTGGATCTGCATCTGAACTACGCCCAGGTCTCCCTCCAAAACCTGCAGCAGTGAGGACAAAACTGACTTTTTAAACCTTTAACCATAATTATATCTTCATCATCCTTGCTGGAGTTGTGTTTTGTTTTTTTTTGTTCAAGTTTGTATCATCTGAACACAAAACTGACTTTTTCAGGGCTTTCAACCATGTTATAGTTGTTTTCTCTTCTCAATTGCCCTCTCGAAGTTGGATTTAGAGTGATGTTTGATTAATTTTTATTACATATTCACAGCATCATTGTTCACCTCCGCTGGTCCACGCCCACTGTGACGTACGGACTTTGTTCTCCATCTGGATTTTCTTACTCGTGATACGTGTAGGACTCTGCAGCGTCTCATACTCATTTTGGTAGAAATATGAAAAAAAATCTGCTACTCACTACCGTGATGTGCAGTTATTCATAGGAGGGGCTGACGGCATGTGGTGCTTCGTTGTGATGAGGTTTACGCCAACGTCAGCTCCCACTGGGCACCACAGTTTAAAGCGAAAGTTAGTGAACTAGATTTTTTTTTTAAATGTCTTTTAAAGTAATTTTAGATAAATTATAACATAATCCATGCGTGTCATAGATTATAACTATGCGTATATAACTTCTTTAACACAATATACAGTAGCTAGGCAGCTCTATGAAAAGAGGTACAGATGTAGGCTACTTTGTGTAAACCAAATAAGGCAGGATATGTTACATAATCATCAAATCTGTCTTTATGACTGACATTTGTAACATTTAGTACATGTATTGCAGTATACAAGTGTATACATGCTGTACAGTATAAGTGTACATGTATAATAGAGTATATATGTGTACATGTTAAGCCAGGGGTGTCCAAACTTTTTTCATCAAGGGCCACATATCTAAACACAGAAGAAGCAGAGGGCCTATCGAGGGCCGTAGACTGGAGCTAAAAAAAAACTGTGAATAATTGAAATATGTACATGTTTAACACGCTAGAATGAAGCATCAGTCTTTATTCACGCTAAGATCCTCAAAACCACACACTAAATATTAAATATGAGCTTTATCAAAGTAGATTTTCAAAAACTTGCTGTAAAAAGCTCATTTTTAACTGGTGCACTGTAATTTGGGCCAATTCAACTGGAAGCCTGAGGGCCAAGAAAAATTTGTCTGAGGGCCACATTTGGCCCACGGGCCATAGTTTGGACATGCCTGTGTTAGGCACATAATCATACTAAGGCAGTACTAGTGTCAGGAGCTAACACCATTAGAGACTTTTTGGGTTCATATGTGTCATACTAGTTACTACACAGTAATAGATCTAATGTTACATTTTGTTGTGATTTATTACAAATGTGAAACTTGGATTCATATTTTATTAGGGTTAGGGTTTATTAGGGTTGGAGTTTATAAGGGTTAGGGTTACATCTGAAGGATTTGGACTATAGTGAGATTTCTAAATATTCATTTATTTAATTTGCACAATACAGTTTTTTCTCCACTTCACTGTTTCCATGATTAACAGATCTGACACCCAAAAGGAGTGAGCAGAAAAAAAAAAAAAAAAAACCCGCTCCATAGCCCCTCTTACATAACAGACAAAACGTGATCACCATTGAACACGGTGACAGTGTCTGTTTTTTAAATCCTGAGAAAAGCAGATGATGTGGTTTTGTGTGAGCTGGGAGAGGTTGGGAATGGGTCAGTTTTGTTGTATTGTTCTTTTGAAAATGAATTTAGAAATCCTTTGGTGAAATATTCACCTAGTCCTCATATTTTCTGGAGTCTTGACTGCAGCAAGATGAAATGCTTTGTTGATTCTAATGTATAATTTTGATTTAATTTAATTTGAATAATTTTAAATTTGTGAAACCTGGATGAAGAAACTTTATATTCAAATCTATAAATGAGTCAGTTTGTGTTTGTAAAAATGCATTTCAGTGGAAGTCTTTGTGAATGGTGTTGTATACGTCCATAAAAGGACTGTTCATATGTTTGTAAGACTCTATAATGAAATAAATTGTATTCAGTTAAATCTTTTCATAGAGTAGAAAAAGTGAAATATCTGGGTTTCATGTGACGTCACAGGGCTCCGTTTGTCAGCACGCAAAATCAGATGGAGGCAGGAAGTGAACTGACTGGAGGAAAATGCCGATGTGTTGTGTAGTTTACGGCTGTGCCAATTGTTCTAACCGAGAGAAGTAAAAGCGATTTTTTTTAGAGTACCGGATATAGTCGTCCACAAAGGTCAGAAATGGGAAAAGCCGACAGAACAACGTCGTAAAAAGTGGATTACAAACCTGTTTGCGGTCGGGAGGAGCAGAATTCGCTAATGCTCGTGTCTGCAGTGACCACTTTGACAAAGGTTTGTTACAAAGCTAAATTGTTTTTTGTGGTTTACCTAAACATAAACGAATCATTAACGACTAACGGCAAACGACATTTGTTGACATTAAATAGTTCAGATTGAGGTCACTGCTGATACACTGCAGTTTTTCCCATAACGTCTATACACATAAAATAAGAGAAACACTCACCCCGGCCGAAGACCAAACCATAATCATCATTTAGGCGTTTTGCACCAAGGTTGAGGACCCATCCACTGACAAAAAAAGTTCTATGCCTCCAAACTTTTGTACTTTGCCTTCATCTGTTGTCTGGTGTAGAACGATGTCTGAAGAGCTAAATAGTTCATGATCTCCTCTGCCTTGATTGTCGGCAAATCTTTTACTTCGGTTGAAAATTCTCTCATTTTCAATAAGATCAGGGTCACGCCCAATATATTTGTCGACTAACTGCTCGTACTTTTGTCTTGCTACTGGCTCTAAATCCTTACAATAAGAACTCTTCTCCATATCTGTGTTCTCCAGAGCCGTGTTTGTCGTGTTTGTCTTCACTTCCTGCCCTCCACCTGAAATTCGCACATCATCCTGATCACGTGACTGAAACCCTCCTATAAAATAACCTGTACCTGATTGTGAACCATGAATGAGGAACATGCTTCAGTTTTCACTTTTAGCCCCGCACACTTAGTCCCTTCTGTCGACGTCACATTGCACCGTGACATGGAAATGATTGTCTGGGCAGGCTTAGGCAGCTGTTTCCATGTAAGTGTCCACTGCTTTTAATTGCAGTTTTACTCTTTAACTCTTGAAAATGGAATCCAACAGAGAGTTAAGTGTGTGAGATGGTGTCAGGCTGTTGTTTTTTAACGATGTGACTTTTGGATTTGTTATGGTAAATGGATCTTTTGTATATGTCTTGCTTAAAGAGCTATTCAAAAGACTCTCTGTCTCTTTTTATTTTTAATATAACAGAAAACCAGTGTGATAACTCATCTTATCAATAAACAATCACAAAAAGAAGGAATCAAGGCTCAGATTTGTTTAAAATGGTTCAACCTGAGAGTGGAAGTGTGATTACCTTTTGAATTTATGCATAATCTAAAAAAACAGAATAAAACAAACAAAAAACATTGCACTACAATAATTACAAAACATAACTGATATTACGACGTCCGATATGTTTTCAAAGCTCTCAGCAATGTTGCATCCTCTGCTTCTGTTCTGGTTTATGTGTTGGTTCAGTGGTAATCATTGTAAAAATACATACAAATTAGAAAGAAAATAATATGATTCTTTAAAAAAATATTACATCCGGTTCCAGCCTTTTACGTTAAAAAAACTGTTCAAAAGAGCCAACTCATTCACGAACATCACATCACTGCTGGTTTCCCACGATTCTTAATCTTGGGCTGCGTTCAGACTGCAGCCTGAAGTGACCCAAATCAGATTTTTTGGCCCCTATGTTCCTGTATCTGATCTTTTAATGACAGTCTGAACGACACAGATACTGATTTTTTCAAATGTGACCCAGGACACTTGGATATGTGCTCCTGAAACCGATACATATCTGATCTTTTGACATGTGACTTCAGTCTGAACGGCCTAAGCACATTCATTCGACCTACACGTTATCAACAAGCCACAAACATCACTATTCTGCGCTGAAGTAGATGAAAATTGTTAATGAACTCTGTGTCACTGAAGCAAAGCACATCGCCACTCACCATTCTTGGCTCCGTCTCCACATCCACATGTTTCCTTTTGGACAACTTCCGTAAACACTGAGACGCTCGCTGAGGTTGACGTCGTCGTGTTTCCAGTGCACATGTGGGACACTTTTGGGCCATTTACTGTTTACACTGGAGTCACTTACAAGTCACATTTAATTGGAAATGTGAACGACCTCCCAAAAACATCAGATTTCACAAAAAAATCTGAATTGATCGTTAAGGCCTGCAGTCTGAACGTAGCCATAATGTACCTGATATAATGGACAAAGGATAAAGGTGACAGTAGAAAATGGAATGTATAGAAAAAGCTATTAAATAATAATAATAATAATAATAATAAAATCCATAATTTCTAGTCTCTCTCTCTTTCTCTCTCTTTTTTAAAATTTTGCAGCTTTTACCAAACAAATAGTGTAGTCTTCAAAACAAATAACTTCAAATCAGGTACAGTAAGTGTTTTCTTTTTTTTTAAAATTTTTATTATTATTATTTCTAATAACTCTGAAACACTTTGAAAACGATGTGAAAAGCTCTTACAAACTCATTGTGAATAATCAAGATTAGGGGTGTGTAAAAATAATATTGTGATAATAAATTTGGTGATAAAATAGTAGTATATTACCAAGGCTATTTTTGGTATTTTTGGATAATTTCTTTTTGTGACTCCACTACAATTTTGTTGCTTATTTAGTGAAAGGAAACTTGACTTTGTGATACACTTTTCACCATTTTGATGATTAAATATATGAATGATGATGGTGATGAATAATGTCACAGTAACTTTGCGACAGTAGCTCCGCTGGTAGAACTTTTGTCCACTGATCCAAAGTTTTGTGGTTCGATTCCCATTCTCAACATAAATATCATTGGTTGAGCAGTTAGATCCACTGATCCACAGGTTGGCAGTGCGATTCCAGCTCCCACAGATGAATGCTGTCATTGTGTCCTTGGGCAAAACTTAATCTAAATCGCCCCCAGTGTCTGCGTACACTGGTATATGGACAGTGTTGGGAAGGTGACTTTTCAAATGTTTTCCCCTCGAGATTACAGATGACATACTCTAAAATGTAGTTTGTAACAGAATCCATTAAATTACTTAAAGTGAGTAATGTAATCTGAATACTTTGGATTACTTGATTTGCTGCAGAGAAGCAAAAACTAGGATATCTTCACATAAGATGTTTTGTTTGCTAAAAGAAAATGAAAAGTCCAGACTTTCCTGAACCGTATTAAAAATATTATTGATAGAAGAGGAGAAGACACGGTCTGCGCGGCATAGTTTCATCCTGTTAAATCCTGGTTTAGACCTGGTTTTAATCCTGGGTTAGTCCTGGTTTAGTCCTGGTTTAGACCTGGTTTAATTCTGGTTTAGACTTGGTTTTAGACCTGGTTTAGACCTGGTTTAGACCTGGTTTAGATCTAGTTTAGACCTGGTTTAAGACCTGGTTTAGACCTGGTTTAGATCTAGTTTAGACCTGGTTTTAGTCCTTGTTTAGACCTGGTTTAGACCTGGTTTAGATCTAGTTTAGACCTGGTTTAGACCTGTTTAGACCTGTTTAGAGTTTAGAGTTTAGACCTGTTTAGACCTGTTTACTGGTTTAGACCTGGTTTAGACCTTGGTTTAAGACCTGGTTTAGACCTGGTTTAGATCTAGACTGGTTTAGACCAGTTTAGACCTGGTTTAGACCTGGTTTAGACAGTTTAGACTGGTTTTAGTTTAGTTTAGATGTTAGACCTTTGTTTTTTTTTAGGTTTAGAAGACCTGTTTAGACCTGGTTTAGATCTAGTTTAGACCTTTTAGTCCCTTTAGACCTGTTTAGATCTAGTTTAGACCTGGTTTTAGTCCTTGTTTAGACCTGGTTTAGACCTGGTTTAGATCTAGTTTAGACTGGTTTAAGACCTGGTTTAGACCTGGTTTAGTCTATTTAGACCTTTTAGACCTGTTTAGACCTGTTTAGATCTAGTTTCTGGTTTTAGTCCTTGTTTAGACCTGGTTTAGACCTGGTTTAGATCTAGTTTAGACCTTTCTGGTTTTTTCCTGGTTTTAGACCTTGTTTTAGTTTAGACCTGGTTTAGTCCTGACCTGGTTTAGATCTAGTTTAGACCTGGTTTTAGTCCTTGTTTACCTGGTTTAGACCTGTTAGACTAGTTTTTTAGACCTGGTTTAGATCTAGTTTAGACCTGGTTTAGACCTGGTTAGACCTGGTTTTAGTTTAGACCTGGTTTTAGTCCTGTTTAACCTGGTTTAGACCTGGTTTAGATCTAGTTTAGACCTGGTTTAGAGTTTAGACCTGGTTTAAGTTTAGACCTGGTTTAGACCTGTTTAGATCTAGTTTAGACTTGGTTTTTAGACCTGGTTTAGACCTGGTTTAGATCTGTTTAGATTAGACTGGTTTAGATCAGTTTAGACCTGGTTTTAGTCCTTGTTTAGACCTGGTTTAGACCTGTTTAGACTAGTTTAGACCTGGTTTTAGTCCTGTTTAGACCTGGTTTAGACCTGGTTTAGACCTGTTTGTTTAGTTTAGTTTAGACCTTTTAGAGTTTAGACCTGTTTAGAAGACTTGGAGTTTAGACCTGTTTAAGACCTGGTTTTTAGATCTAGTTTAGACTGGTTTAGTCCTTGTTTAGACCTGGTTTAGACCTGGTTTAGATCTAGTTTAGACTGGTTTTAGTCCTTGTTTAGACCTGGTTTAGACCTGGTTTTAATCTAGTTTAGACCTGGTTTAGTCCTTGTTTAGACCTGGTTTAGACCTGGTTTTTAGACCTTTACCTGGTTTAGACCTGGTTTAGACTGGTTTAGATCTAGTTTAGACCTGGTTTTAGTCCTTGTTTAGACCTGGTTTAGACCTGTTTAGAGTTTAGTTTAGACCTGGTTTAGACCTGTTTAGACCCTGGTTTAGACCTAGTTTAGACTAGTTTAGACCTGTTTCTGACCTGTTTAGACCTGGTTTAGCTAGTTTAGACCTGTTTAGACCTGGTTTAGACCTGGTTTAGACCTGTTTAGATCTAGTTTAGACCTGGTTTAAGACCTGGTTTAGACCTGGTTTAGATCTAGACCTGTTTAGACCTGTTTTAGTCCTTGTTTAGACCTGGTTTAGACCTGGTTTAAGACCTGGTTTAGACCTGGTTTAGATCTAGTTTAGACCTGGTTTTAGTCCTTGTTTAGACCTGGTTTAGACCTGGTTTAGATCTAGTTTAGACCTGGTTTTAGTCCTTGTTTAGACCTGGTTTAGACCTGGTTTAGATCTAGTTTAGACCTGGTTTAGACCTGGTTTAGACCTGGTTTAGATCTAGTTTAGACCTGGTTTTAGTCCTTGTTTAGACCTGGTTTAGACCTGGTTTAGATCTAGTTTAGACCTGGTTTAGTCCTTGTTTAGACCTGGTTTAGACCTGGTTTAGATCTAGTTTAGACCTGGTTTAGGTTTAGACCTGTTTAGACCTGTTTAGATCTAGTTTAGACCTGGTTTAGAACCTTGTTTAGACCTGGTTTAGACCTGTTTAGAGTTTTAGTTTAGACCTGGTTTAGACCTGGTTTAGACCTGGTTTAGACCTTTAGACCTGGTTTAGATCTAGTTTAGACCTGGTTTTAGTCCTTGTTTAGACCTGGTTTAGACCTGGTTTAGATCTAGTTTAGACCTGGTTTTAGTCCTTGTTTAGACCTGGTTTAGACCTGGTTTAGATCTAGTTTAGACCTGGTTTAAGACCTGGTTTAGACCTGGTTTAGATCTAGTTTAGACTGGTTTTAGTCCTTGTTTAGACCTGGTTTAGACCTGGTTTAGATCTAGTTTAGACCTGGTTTAGACCTGGTTTAGATCTAGTTTAGACCTGGTTTAGAGTTTACCTGTTTAACCTGTTTAGATCTAGTTTAGACCTGGTTTTATCCTTGTTTAGACCTGGTTTAGACCTGGTTTAGATCTAGTTTTAGACCTGGTTTAAGACCTGGTTTAGACCTGGTTTAGATCTAGTTTAGACCTGGTTTTAGTCCTTGTTTAGACCTGGTTTAGACCTGGTTTAGATCTAGTTTAGACCTGGTTTTAGTCCTAGACCTGTTTAGACCTGGTTTAGATCTAGTTTAGACCTGGTTTTAGTCCTGGTTTAGTCCTGGTTTAGACCTGGTTTTGGATCTGATTTAGTGTCTGGCAATGAGTGGAATTACCGAAAAAAAAAAAAAAAAAAAGGGGGGGGGATATAGCCCAAAGTGTGTAAACAGGAAAATACCGCCATGTAATCCATTTATTTCAACAAAGTAACTGTAATCCATTTACCACTCATTTAAACAGTAACTGTAACTGAATAGAGTTACTCATAATTTATACTCTGATTACATAACGCTGGTACATGTAATCTGTTACTCCCCAACATGGTGTATGAATGTGTGTGTGTGAATTTGGTTCTTAAAAAAACAACAATATGCTGTATCACAGAGTATCACGTGCGATATATCGATTATTGCATGTATCGCCATATCATAATAATATCGTATTTGGAGCATAAGACATAAGTGAGAAATAACTTTGGACCACTGCAAACTGTTTTAAATGAACTACTGTAATTTCCGGACTATTGAGTGAACCTGAATATGAACCACATCAACTACATTTTAACTAAATTTTAAAATTGTACATATATAGACCACATGTGAATATAAGCCACAGGTGTCCACGTCTTCAAGAACCTTTCAAGTTCAGTCATCTGTTTTTATTGCCTCTGTTGTGCCCTTTTTCTGTTTGAGGAGGTTAGTAACTCACGTAAGAAAATAAGCACTAGCGGAGATCCAGATCCATTTATCCATTTATTTTAAAGAACAAAAAAATTATAATATTGTCCGTGGATGACTTTCTTTTTGATGTAGTGTGGTCACAAAATAGTATCTTCTCCTCTCTCTGCTGGCACTGCCTTCCCCGCCCTGCTGCTACAGGTGGCAAGATACAGTATATACCTGGGAGAGAGGAGATCAGGAAAACCTACAATAAAAATTCTGTAATAAAGAAAAATGCATTTTAATATTATATAAAATTCAACAAACTAATAATTTCTTAAATAAATATAAACTGGCTCCAACAGCCTCTGAAAGCTTTTGTCGTCCTTTTGCATTGAGTCAGTTCGTCACGCTGCCATCGCCAACTTCTCACCATGGACTCAGCCAGACCAACCGCCGTTAACTTAAAAGCTGCATCATCTGCATTTCTTCATGTGTTTTCCATGAGGAGGGTGTGTGTATGAAGCACAAAATAACTGACCAAAACACAATCAAACAGCATCTTCCTCAGCGCATCACCCCCGTCTCTCCCCACGCTCTACTGTGTATGTCTCCTGCAGAACGAATCTCTGTCCTGTCTGTGTCATGTCAGTGTCTTGTAGGATTTCAGCAGATTTCAGGCTCTCCAGGGGGCGGGGATAGGTGGATCGATCAGGTATGAGTGGATGTCCGGCTGCTGAAGTTTGAGATGTTTCTTCTCGTCATTTATGTGCTCACCTACATTTAACACATTCTGGTTATAAAGACATATCCCACTCACTAATGTTCATTTAGCATCATAACTTATTTTATCACACTGTAATAAACTGTTTGAGTGCACTGACAACACAGACAGCAACGTTTTCTGCACTCAGGCTGTGCTCGCATCTGTTGTGTTGACAAACCGTATATATGAATGGACAATGTGCCAAATAAATAATCCGTCCACATAGCCACATTGTTGTATAAACCGCAGGGTTAAAAGTGTGAGGAAAAAGCAGTGGCTTATAGTCTAGAAATTATGGTAGTTCTGTTTTTCAATGACAGTAAAATGACCGTGTTTGAACACTGAAAAAATGGTCTGAGAGGGGTTGCTCAAATTGCAAAAACTAATTTGACAACAATAACATCACTTTTTTACATTTCTCTGTCCAGCATGTTTAAATCTTACAAAGGTCACTTGAATGTGGCCAATGTGAGACCTGCAGGTTTTAATCAGGTTGAGGAAACATGATTTTATTATAATCTGTGGTGAGGCTCCTCCCTCTGGAATTCTCCTCCCCAAAACTTTTGGAGGGAAAATTCAAATGTAACAGGACACAGGACAGATCCAGGAGCAGAGACACACAGTGTGGAGCAGGAGGATTATCAGAGCTGATCTGGAGGTGAGACTTTTCAAAGATTTTATTTGCTTCTCTGAACTAGAATGTCGTCATTGTTAAAACATGTTTGTGGTGTTTTATTTGAAATTAGAGTTAATGTAAGAACTGTTTCCATGAGACAAATTGTCTTTGACTGTCCATCTACAAGAGTGTGACAGTTGTACTAAGATTTGATTGTGTTTGTTCCAGAGTCGTCTACAAACACAGAGTGACGTCCAGGTTCTGCTGGAGCTGTGGGGAAGTTCATGAATGTTACAGCTGATGTTTCAGAAAAAAGGAAGATGTTTGAGAACCAACAAACCACAGAGCACAGATGAACAAAGTAAGTAACTCAACTAAAATGATTTAAAACTAATTTTTCAAAATGAACTTCTATTGAAACAGTGATCGTGTTTCTACAGGGTGATGTGGCACTAGGAGACTTTATACCAGATGCCCTCCCTGTTACTGTGTTTAGAGGAAGAAAAGCAGCACATGGTGAGTTTTGTTTCTGCAGATACAGTTCTAATGTTCTTGTAATTTTGTTCTGGTCCATTATAGGTACTTTAAATGTATTTAAACATGTACAACAGAGTAGATCATCAAAATGTAATTATGTTATCTGTGTGTCCACAGAGACCAGAGCTTCTTCACTGGAATAAATCTTCACACTGTCCAGCTTCAAACTGTGTGTCTCTGTACTTGTGTGTCTCTGTGTGTTTGATTCTGTTTAAGACAAAACAGAACTGTGAAAAACTAAAGACTGTTTTTGTATTATTTTATAGAATTAGATCAATTAAATTAAATTATACATATTTATACATTTCACAATAAGGTAACATAAGATAAATATGCATATGCAGCATGATTTGTTCAAATTTCATCAACATGAAAAAGTGACATTCATGTTCTGAGAAACATATGTGTAGAGAGGATCGAAATAAGTTTCAAAGCCTAAACATTATTGCATGCAACCGCTTTCCAGAACTTTTTTACGCAAATCCAGCAACCTTTTTTTTTCAGTGAAGAATCTCTCAGTCGTCCAGGTATAATCCATGTCGAGGAGAACGTTCAGTTTGTTGACTGGACAAAAGTTAGTTTGGTTGAAGACGTTTCGCAGCTCATCCAAGCTGTTTCTTCACTTCTGGTCAGACGCTGGTGGACACTTCCTTATATCTGTCTGCAGGGAGGAGCTAACTACACTGAAACTAACACACACACTTGTTTACAGTTTGTGTTTGTTAGTTCGGCCTATTGACCTGTACAAGGTTTAGGGTCTAATTAGCAGAACAATTCATGGCCATAATGAAGCTTCCACACCTCTGGACCTGACCTGGATACACCTGTTATTCTATTGTTTGTTTTGATTTAGGTTTGATGTGATGTCTCTTTTCACATGTATCCCTACATCAGTAGTGGTGGAAGCAGCAAGGAAGAAACTACTGCAGGATACCAAACTGGAAGAGAGAACGAAACTGTCACCGGAACAAATCTGCCAACTGCTGGAAATCTAATTAAATACCACCTACTTCCAGTTCAGAGGGAACTTCTACAGACAAATCCACGGCTGTGCGATGGGCTCACCGGTCTCTCCTATCATTGCAAACTTATATATGGAACAATCTGAACAGAAGGCCTTGGCCTCATATCCAGGAACTCCACCTACACATTGGTATCGTTATGTGGATGATAACTTTTCAAAAATCTAAATTCAAGATTCGGAACCATTTACTGCACATATTAATGCTCTAGATTCTAACATCAAATTCACCTGTGAAGATGCCAAAGGGAACACATTGGCTTTCTTAGACTGTGCTGTAACGATAGGTAAAGACTTCAGGAAGCCCACACACACGGACCAGTACCTGCTTTTTGATTCTCACCACCCACTGCAACACAAACTTGGAGTTATTCAGACACTACAACACAGGGCTCAAGTGTTGCCAACAAGCACAGAGGGAAAGGAGAAAGAAGAACAACATGTGCAGAAAACCCTCTCTGTTTGTGGAGATCCAAAATGGGCCTTCAACAAAACCAAGAGAACTAAAAAACAGGACAAAAACAGGAGATCCTGGTCTCTTTCAAACCTGCGAACACTCTAAAACAGAAACTGGTCCAACCCAAAGGACAAAACACCGAACCACAAACAAAGCAATGTGTCTACTCCATTCAGTGCAGTGAACGCTACATTGGAGAAACTTAACAGCTACTTCACAAGACGATGTACCAACACAGACGAGAGAGCAGCAGTGGACCTCAGTCTGCTGTACATCTCCACTTAAAAGCCATGGGCCACTCATTTGAGGACAGCGAGGTACAGATTTTAACCAGAGAAAAGAACTGGTTTGAGAGGGGAGTGAAAGAAGCCATTTTTTGTTAAGAAAGAGAATCCTTCTCTAAACAGAAATGGAGACTCAGACACCATCTACCTCCTATTTACAACTCCATCCTCAAACCTAAATCAAAACAAACAAGAGAACAACAGGTGAATCCAGGTCAGCTCCATTATGGCCATGACCAGTGTTGGGAAGGTTACTTTTAAAATGTATTCCCCTACAGATTACAGATTACATACCCCAAAATATAGTTTGTAACGGAATCCATTAAGTTATTTAAGGTGAGTAATGTAATCTGAATACTTTGGATTACTTGATTTGCTGTAGACTTGCAAAGATGAAGAATTCTTCACATAAGATGTTTTGTCTACTAAAAGAAAATAAAAAAGACCAGACTTTGATCAACCCAATAAAAAATATTATTGATAGACACAGTCTGCACAGCATGGTTTAGTCCTGTTAAATCCTGTTTTAGACCTGGTTTAGTCCTGTTTTTAGTCCTGGTTTAGTCCTGATTTAGTCCTGGTTTAGACCTGGTTTAGTCCTGGTTTAGTCATGGTTTAGCTCAAAATGTGAAAACAGGAAAATACAGCCGTGTAATCCATTTATTTCAACAAAGTAACTGTAATCCAATTACCACTCATTGAAACTGTAACTGTAACTGAATACAGTTACTCATAATTTGTACTCTGATTACGTAACGCCAGTACATGTAATCTGTTACTCCCCAAGACTAGCCATGAATTGTTTTGCTAATTACACTCACACCCTGTACAGGTCAATAGGCCGAACTAACAAACAGAAACTGTAAACAAGTGTGTGTGTTAGTTTCAGAGTAGTTTCAGTGTAGTTAGCTCCTCCCTGCAGCGTCTGACCAGAACTGAAGAAGCAGCTTGGATGAGCTGCGAAAGGTCTTCAACCAAACTAACTTTTGTCCAGTCGACAAACTGAATTTTCTCCTCGCCAGTAAAATGACCAATAAATGCGTCATATTAACTGCAGCCCATTTTCTTTTTAAACTTAATAAAAGCATCAGAAATCATACCATTTGAATTGAGCAAATATGGCCCCACATTGGTCTTTTGCACAGGGTTTAGAAATAGCCCTGGTTGCCTCACAGTAAACAGCAAAATCCATGTTTATCTGTGTTCAAACGCACACGGCTGCATGTTGGACCAATTTCTCGGCTGATTGGCTTTTGTGGTGCGCTTGTTTGTGATCAACACCTCTCATGAATATTTTCAGGGTCGGGTGGAGTCAACTATTCATATCTACAGTTTTGTTCACAACAGGAAAATCGGAGGAACACAAAGTTTCCAAGTCTAAAGGGCCTGCACCTGATTCTACTGTATTCTTCTCAAAATAACTGCAGAGTGCCAAAGAGGCACTGGAGAGGCACTACACACACTTGAAGAAAAAATAGCGGTCCACATCTGTACACATCTGCAGCAGTATTGATATTGGTAATTGGTAATTGCATTAGCTGTAAAATGCATCGTTTTCTGATTCCATCTCAACAGAAATCAGCAGCAAGAGAATAGACAGGACCCAGAAAAAATATGATAGAAAATATGATTCTGGTGATGTAAAGTTTGGTTTCACCCGGTCGGGTTCAGACTGTCTGCCCCAGTGTGTGGTCTGTAAAAAGATGCTTGCGAACGACTGCATGAACTTGCAAACTTCAGCGTGACATGGAGACAAAGCACGTGAACTTAGTGAACAAGTCAGTGGAGTTTTTTGAGAGAAAGCGTGATGATTTGTAGTCACAGAAAAGCATTATGCCGTCATCTGGCCCCTCGCCTTTTCACGCTCTCGCTCCTTCCTGCGTACAGCGAACACAAGCCCCTCCCACAGTGCGGCTGATTAGAAGAGCAAGACCAAACGTGAAGCAAAAATCAGTCTAAATTTGTGTTCCAGTGTTGGCACAAAGCAGGTCTACAGCATAGAGCAGATCTACAGAACAGACCTACTGCCACATTTGGCTGAAGTTTGTCTAACAAAAGTGCACAAATGCATCTGTGTTTGTCACGATGTGTGTTTGGTTTGGTAAATGTGCAGAGGCTGGTAAATATCACTGCAAAACCAGAAAAGAATGAAACTCCAGTTTGGAACTTTAAAAAACAGGTTTAAACATCTTCCTTCACTTTTTTCATAGTTTTGTGTAAAGTGCCAGAGGAAGTTCTCTTAAAGAAGAGGTTCTCAAACTGTGGGTGAGGGTCCAAAAAAGGGGCACAGAGTGTTTCAGTGCAGTTTGTTTGGCTTTGTATTAGGTAGATCATTTTGACTTGGTCATTTTGTAAGTAGCTCACATGCTGAAAAAGTGTGAACACCTCTGGTCTAAACCATGCGCTTAATATAAGGCCCGAACATTTCAGACATCAGGTGTCGTAGTTTTGGCACATCAGGTCTACTGATGTTCAGTGATGTTAAAAGTCACCTGAACTAGACCTGCATGAATTTGGAAATGATCTGCTGTTACAAGAATTGTTTATGAATGCACTTAAAAATATGAAAATACAATATTAAATATATTATCAGTTGTTATTGAAACTCCTCATTACCTGTGTGTCGTCACTATAGAACTTATTTGCTGTCAAGAGCTCCATGCAAAATAATATAACCTGAATGACGATGGCTTCTCCACAGCAACTGCCAGAATAGATCTGTTTATTTGTCATTTTTATGTTACATAAAAATGAAATTGTGTTTCACAGCCACCACACTTCAGTGCAACAGTAGATGCAGTGAAAGTACAGTCTCTGATTGAACAGCTTCACTGGTGGTGGCAGGAAGTTGTAGCAGTAGTTCTGTAGACCAACTTTGCTGTGGACATGATGGAGAATGAAAACACACAAAAAAAAAAAAAGCTCTGGAGAAGCCGCTGCAAACGTCAACAGTGCTTCCATATTGGTTAACGCTGCATGTTTTGGTTGGTATCTCTTCTGAAAGGCCTTATGCCTCATTTGGTGTAAAAAGTCTGAAAATAAATAAAATGCAGGGTTTGTGTGCATGTGTGAACGAAACAAAACACAACTCCAGGTATGTGTGTGATGAAAAAAACAACAACTTTATAACAGAGATGAGAAAATAGAGTAAAATAGGCCCTTTAACAATTGTGTAATAGAATTATATTTAAATCCAAGTCATACTTTAATGGAAAGA